CCTCACCCCAAACCTTTCATAGGGAATTGTGGACCCCCTCTCCAAGCTTGATTCTGCTGGAGGTTTCTTGCTGTTTAAAGGTAGATTTTCCTTCCCACTCTCACCAAGTGCTTGTTCATGTGTTCATGTGGCTGTTGGGGTTTCTTTCTAATATTATAGGATCTTTACTTTAATATATAAATCCCCTTGTGGTGACTGTTGCTGTTAATTGGTACTATGAAAATAAAGTGGAATAGTATTGTATTATGGTGTGGGGGGTTTTGTGTACTTTAAGCCAAAAATAACAGCAAAAGGTTTGTGCAGCATAGTTGCTGTTTTTGGACTGGCATTGGATGGTTGGATAATTTTAACAATCACCCTTTATAGGCCAGAAAATAATAATGATGGGGGGTGGGGCAGCTATTTGCATTTATATGATTTATTGTCTGAGTTCAACCAAGGAAAAAGGAAAATCAACAGTTGTAAGCTGTAATTTTCTCTGAAACACAAGCACTATGTATCGTTTTCCTCCTGCCTATACGGCGCATTGTTCTGGGGCCTTGGTGTTAATTGTGTGCCAGGCTAAGATGCTAAAAATATTCCTCCATATTATTACTAAAGACAGCAGCCCAGCAGCCCTCCTGGTGTACAAACTGTTTTATAAGCTTGTGTTTCTTCTTGACACACAACGGTTGTTTACCTTGACAGCTATTTGTGCATTGCATGGACAAAATTAACATCAGGAGAGAAAAAGAGATACCTGTGTATCCCGGAGGGTAAAAGCAGTAAAAAGCTCATTTCACACACACAAAAACAGAAAGAAGTCATAAAAAGCCTGAAGCAAATTTATACCTTTTCAGGACAGACCATATTAAATTATTAACATGCAAAGTATCAGGAACTCGGTTAAAAAGAGAAGAAAATACACAAATGAACCCAGCTGTCAATACACTGGTAGAAATCTGCTTGCTATCTTCAAAGAAAGAAGAAAAAAACATGCAAGGCAGCAACAAAAGCAGTTCCTCTGACGCATCTGACAAGACAAAATAGATAAAACAGCTCCTAAACTTCCACGTCAGATGTGAGTTCCTGCTACAAAGATGCTCTGAGACGGTTTGGCCTTTTAATTCTTGTCTATTGCTTTTTGAACATTACACTTAAACCTGAAAATGAAAGAAGACATTTACTGACTTGATAATATAATGACTTTCATATTGAAGGTTTAGGATGTGTAGAATCTGAAATGTGAAAAACACAAATACTTTTTATTTTCATTGCTATCATATTTAAATAAAATATTATCCATTGTAGGCACAGCAACAGCTGCTCATCTCTTAATGTCTCAGATAATCTGACATTGGTGATATCGGTGTTCTGCACTGTGAACAGGTGACAACAGGATGCACTGTGGTCTCTGGTTGCATTCATGAGCATCCTATAGCATACAGTAATAGCTTCTACATCCACTCTATTCACACAATGTAAATGAGCGGGAACTTTATATCCTTGCAACTGCATCTTAACACACAATCTAGATTACTACATTTAAAATGTTGTTATAATTATGTTCAGGCACTGGCGTCATGCTCTGCTTTAATATGGGAATAGCCAGCTTTGACTTAAAATGAAGAGTTTATTATCAAAACAACAGTCTTCCCTGAACTGTGACGAGGGTGCTTTTTCTGCCTAAATCAAAACAAAAAATTTAATCGTTAATCTAATTGGTTTTTTTTATTAATTACAAATTTAATACTTTAGTCAACAGAAGATTGCTATTTCCATCAGAAGGTGAATATATTTGGCAGTTTTGCTCTGGGACTTTGCTGCACTTCCATGAGCCTACATGAAGACAGTTAGAGCAGCAGTGAGAGCGCCGTTCAGAAGAGAGTAGAACAGCACCAGTAAAAACAGATATATTGATCGAGTCAGACAGAGCATAAAGGAAGAGGTGGGGTGGAGGTGTACAACATGTGTGGCTGAAGCAGGTTAATAGCATGTCCTACACGGCCTGCACACCCCGGACCAAATTGTTTTGTCTGTGGTCCAGTACCAATCTGTGGAGCTTTATTCATTCGAGCAGAAACCAAACTGCAGTTAGGGTCTATAGATGTAATTTGTTCAACAGATGTAATGCAATAAAATGTGGCTATATTATTTATAGTATAAATGTCATTATAACCAAGCCAAGCAGGCAGCAACTTCTAATTCTTGCACCTTGCACCTTACCAGTCATATGCTACTATGGCTTTATACAAATTACAAAACGCTAATGTACTGATGAATAAAATAGAGAAAAGTAGAGCAACATAGACACTGTGTGTGGATATGGCTGGGTTACTGAACAAGACACCTATATATGTCTCATGAGCACACTGACCTCACCAAGACCCTCTGGTGACAAACACATGAGAAACACACCAAAATTCATCCCACAGCGCACTGAAAGCATCGCACAGTCTCAAATATGCAAACAGACACACAACCAACTGTACCTTCCAGGCAGCAAATCCTCCAGAGGCCAGAGTGGGTGAGCGCCCCAGGATCCTTCTTGTCCTTATTGTTGGAGTCCTCCTGTGATGAGTTGGCTGTGCTGTTGCAGATGAAGGCCCGGGCGTACAGCCAGTAGTCAGTTCCAATAGCCACTGTCATCAGTGCAAAAGCTGCAAAAGCTCCCATGGTGGTCAACAGCACCTGGATCCCTCGCTCACACCACACCATGGCTGGGCGGGGAAGGAAACTGATGTCTGACAAGAACACAGAAAATAAAATCAGCCGTCTGGAGAAGGCAGGGCTGACACATAATACTAATCAAGTTTAAACGATGACATTGTTGGGATGCTGACAGAGCCATGAATATTTTCCTGTTAATATAAATGCCTTGCTTATAGGATAAGTTACCCAACAGTACTAAAATAAAGGATTGCAACTATAAATTTAGTAATACTACTACTCTAACGCCATGCATTTGTCCAATACTAGTGTTACCTGATAGCATATATGCTCTTGTCCAAATATAGTAACTCCTGGCTCTAAAACCAACATGGCAACAGTTAAAATACTCGAGTTAAAAATACAATCCAAACCGGTGGGTGATGTCATGGTGGCTACAGTCATTGTTTATATACAGTCTCTACCTTTTATACAATTCTCTGTTTTAATGACTTCCTGATCTTACGGTAGCTGATATAGACATTGAAACTGATGACTTTTAATATCCATAACTTTTATGATGTAAGGTCTTGTTTTTGGAAATTTGCCTTTATTCTTATTTGAGAGAGAAACAACTAAGAAACAGCTAAGGGTATGTTACAAAGTCATCATAAAAAACATTGCAAAATTACACCAAAAATACAAAGTTCAATCCCATTTTTTTTCAGACTGTTAAGTGTTTAAATGTTCAAATGGCTGCAGTCTTGTATAAGCCATTTAATTCCATCACAATTCAGTGGTTCAAATATACCCTCAATGCCTATGAAAATTAAAACGAGAAGCTAAAACAGGTAATTCATAATTCATACACTGAACTGTCAAATATATTTATGTATTAATAGAAATACTGTCCCTCATGGGCCACTGTACGGGACCTGTGAGAGCTGCTGACGGGGTTTACTCTTTCTGTTGGATTCTGTGTGAGCACACTGGAGCAATTTTTAATCAAAAAACAACACACACGCAGCCTGAAGCAGTTAAAAAATGTTGGCAGCAGGCAACCAGCTAAGAACAAAATACCAACCTCACTGAATCAACGGAAATACAAAAGTACAAATATTGTTCCAAAACTGAACACAGAAAGGTAAAATTGACCCAAATACATGGGGTAAGAAATTAAAATAATGTTTGACAGTGCTTCATTTCATACATCTGCGGGGGATCTCAGGAGCTAGTCATATTTAAATTCTGACCTTTTTCTACAAACCACTTCCAGAGAAAATCACAATAAAAGGTATCAATATGAGCAAGGTTTGGAGGAGGCCTGAGGAAAGGAATTGTCTTTTTAGGTTAATGAGAAGATCATCTGAGGAAAATATGTGCAGAACAAAAGGGCAAATGCAGACGAAGAGCAAGATAGAAGTCTTTGTGCACTTTTTTTTATAATAAGCGACAACAAGAGTGGCTGAGGAGATGGGAAGTAGACAAGTGGAGAGGAGAGAAGAGATACAAATCTGAGCTCAGAGGTGGACAGTGAGAGGGATGACAAGAGGAAAATTGAGATACAACACATCTGTCGTGCTTCAGGAAACATAAATGAAAGTGGATGGAAGCAGGGTTCCTGCCTCTGTGGGGCTCCCCTGTCAGATTTTAACCATTTCAGCTGAAATGGAGAAAGTGCTGGGATTCTGCAACGCTTCAGGTTTGGCTTCTATTCATCTCAAACAAGAGGTTAATGTAAACAATCGATCACACAGAGAATACGAAATCTGCTGAGGGCTTTTAAACTAGTTGACTAATTCAGCTGTCCTGCGGGGGGGGTTTCCATGGCAACAAACGTCCCAAAAATAACAGAGATCGTTGATATTTTAACCCCGAAAGTGACCCGCCTGCTTGAATATGCACAAGGTAAGCGTCA